GTGGTTTGGGCTTTGCTTCTGTGAAGACTGACAGCCTTGGAGACCCTGTGGGGCAGTTCCACTCTGTCCTCTAGGGGCGCTGTGGGTCGGGATCCACTCCACGACCGGGGGTTTCAGTAAGAGTGCGTTACAGGGAAAGTGGAGACCTGCGGTTCCTGCATCTTGCTGTTCCTGTGAGAGAAGGGACGTGAGAAGAGGAGGTTGGAGCCAGGTCCTCCATGGTCTGCCTGCCTGGGTGCTGCTTCTTCCCGATACTTCCAAGACTACCGGTTTGCTTGCCCCAAAAAAGGGAAGCTCTCTTCTCAAAAGGGCCACCGCTCCAAGGTGGGGCCCAGCCAACGACAAGTTTGCCACACACCACGGCCCAGGGCAGTGCACAGGAAAATCCCTTTTTGAGCCCTGTGTGTAGGCAGGCGTCAACTGGCTGTCCCTCTGAACGGGCAGACAGGCAAGGCTGCCTCCGTGGCCCCAGCCCAGCCTTCTCTGATGTGCATCGCTGACACGATAACCTGAAGTATGTACTACATCCCGCCCTTCCTGTTTGATACAAACTGACGAAATGCGGGAACTCTGAGGCGATGACATCACTGGCCCCTACACATGCTACGACCAAGACAAGCCATCAGGGGCCTTGACAGCAGCCTCGGGGTAACAAGGGCGGGCTTGAGTTGTTCACACTGTTGAGTGGTGCAGGTGGGGGCCTGGGGTCAGGACCATAGTCTCGGGGAACATCTCAACTGGCACCATACAGCCCATAGAGAGCGGTTTACGTGCCACTTCAGTGAGTTACAACTGGGGTTCTAAGAGCTTGCTGAGTGACCAACTGCAATGCAATTCTTGGCACCTCTCCAACCACATCAAAGGCGAGTGAAGAAAATCCAAGATGCCAAGGAAACAATGAGTCTCAGGGACCAGCGGGCCACGGGAACCTCAGCCTTCATGACCCTGAGGCCACAAGACCCAGATGGTGCCCAGCTCCTACCGCCAACCACTCTAAACAGGATGACAATAGGAGGTCCCAGATGGAGTGGCAGGAAAACGTGGGACAAACTCAAAATCATAAGAAAGACCAGGCTTATTAGTCTCATAGAGACTGGTGAGACCCCCAAGACTGTGACCCTCAGCCAACCTCCCAGCTCAGACCTGAACTCTGCCCCGTGGCTCAGCTTTCCGCCAAATGACAGTCAGTCTGTGAGGTGCACCGTAACCCCAGGGAGGTGCCCACTCCTGAGGACACTCAGCACCCTGCAGCGTGCGCCCAGGGAGGAAGCTGGGAAGGCAGGGAGGGGCGGGAGCCAAGGACGGAGGGAAACGGGCGCCCAGGAGGAAGTGGGGAGAGAGCTGTTGCCCGGTGGGGACCGCAGTCAGTGCCATGAAGCAAAATGCGTGTGAAGTGAAGCGCAGAAGGAAAACCAGTGTGCTCTGTAAACTTCCACACCCCCCAAAACAGGAAGAAAACCGTTAATAACCTGAATGAGAGGCTGCCGTACTGCAACGAAACTGGCTGCAAGGAGAGGTTGCCTCTGGCGCTGTTAACTGCATGTGTTTTCAGGATCCAAGACAGGCACTTAACTTCAACTCCTAAGACTCAACTCTGTGACTTTTACACGTGTGAGTTTCATTTATACCCATGAATTTTAAAAAAATAGGAATATATACCAGCTGGGTACTTACTTTACACCAAGAAAGACTAATACGAGGCAATTTAGCAAAATTTAATATATGTGGTACAAACCCCCCGTGGAAGAGTCACTTGCAGAATTTTCCTAAAGCCAGTGCTCCAACTAGCTACAGTGTGGTTACTTCTAATTGAGGACTGAAGCTGCAGAATCTCCCTCTAAACCCCCGGTAATAAGGCACCTCAGTCCATTCAATGATCTCCAAAGCGTGCACTGTTTCGGAAGCGCTCACAGGTCTAGCTCTGGAACTGGGGCTTTCTCCAGTCAAAAGCCAGCTTCTCCTCTCAGCCTGCTTCCTCACGAATACAAGGTTCAAATCGCCTCGGCTGCAACGAACACCGCACAACAACACAACACTACTGGCGAGGAGCCCTCACTAAGCTCCAGGTTTTCAAGGTGAGCTCACAAACGCAACAATGGGGCCGGGGTGCAAGCGAGACTGGCAGCATCGCCAAAGGTTCAGGGCTAACGGAGACACCCCATTTCTTTGCCTCTGGCTGGCCCTTCATAACGCTTAAGCTCTGCCAGCCAGGTGAAGTCCTGGGCCACCTGGAACTCCCAAGTAAACACGAGACCGAGGCGGAGCCTGGATAGACCACGCCCCCCGAGAAGCCACGCCCCGGTCCCGCGCGCACGCGCGCGCGCACGCCGCGATGAATGGAAACGCGCGCCTCCCGCGCGCAGACCCGCCCCGGGGATCCCGCGGGGCGGGGTAGGGAGAGGACGCGCCGCAGTACCTCGGAGCCGATCATGTAGAACTCGCCGTCGTCCTCCAGCTGGAACTTAACGGGCTTCTGCCCGAAGGTCTTGCTCAGCGCCATCATCATCATTGCGGCGGCGGAGGCGGGCGGCCGGGCCCGGGCTGTGAAAGGCCGGGAGGGCTGAGGTGGGGCCGGGATGTGCCCCGCCGAGGGGACACGAGGAGAGCCGAGGCCGGGAGGCGAAGGCTGGGCCGGGCCGGGCCGGGTGCTGGCGTCGCCGTAGGCTCTTCTGCAGTCGCCTCCGCTGCCGCTGCTGCCTAGGCCGCTCTCCCTGCGCATGCGCGGGCGTTGACGCTGACGCGCGCGCCGCCGCCCAGACAAAGGACCGGGGCGCGCGCCCGGGGGCTCCTTAGAGGAGCCGCGACCGGATTCTCTTCTCAGGCTGCTTCCCAAGTCCTGGTGCAAAGAAGAGCTTGCAACGGGCCGAACTAGCAATTGACGGCCTGATTCGGGCGGTGGCTTCAAACAGTCCCAGGCGGGACTGGAACTCTGCCGAGTGGAGGAGGATAGGGCTGTATCTGGGAGCCTGGGAGCGCTTTGGGAACCCAAACCAGCGTCAGTTTCCCCACCCCGGATTGACTGCAGCGGGGCTGGCAGGAGTGCTAATGGGAACAGATATTTCTGTTTCTGCGGCCACATGGAGATGGGCGGAATGACCACACTGAAGTGGGGGGGGGTTGGCATCAGCAAAGGCCGTGGGGCCTGGAAGTAGCATTTGGTTTGGCTGGGGCATGGGGGGGGGCACCACTGCTCCTGCCTCCACTCCATACTCTGTGCTCACACCAAGCCCAGTGGGTGCAGGTGTGCGACACCAGATGGCCCTGCCAAACAGCGTCAGAGCTATGGCTGGATCCCCTGGAACGATGTCCCAGGTTCAAAGGGCCCAACACCCACGGTCTTGTATCTGGGTCTATGTAGTAAGACAGCTGCTGGGATGCGTGCTGGGAAGAAGACACACGTGGGACTGGGCAGCGGGCCAGAGACGCGGGCGATGCGGGAGGGTGGGCCCCGGTCCCTGGGAGTCTTATTCTGTGTCCTGACAGCAGTGGCAAAGAAAAACCTTTTACAATAGAGGCAGGTGGCCATTGAAGGTGCAACTGTTGGTCTCTCCTCGTCCAGAGCAAAGAAGAGGGAAGAAAATTAAAGACATAAGGAAACTATTGGTCCAAAGTGCAAATGGACCACGCGAACCCCAGCCTCCACAACCCTGAGACCATAAGAACTAGATAGTACCCAGCTACTACTGTTGGCTGCTGACAGAAATCACAGTAGGAGGTCCTAGAGAGTGGGAGAAAACTGTGGAACAAAACCCAAAATCATAAAATAGACAAAATAGACCAGGCTGACTGGTCTGATAGAGACTGGTGGAACCCACAAAACTGTGGGCCTTCGACATTTCTCAAGCCTAGAGCTGAACTCATGCCCAGGGCTCAATTTAACAGCCAAAGGACAGGCCTATGAGGTGAACAGTAACCCCAGAGAGTATGCACTCCTTAGAACAATCAACCCTATGGGATCCAAAGGGCAGCATTTGCTCAGGGAGAAAGCTCCGAAGGCAGGGAGGGATAGGACAGGAAGGTGAAGGGAACCGCAGGGAGGAAGTGGGGAGACAGCGGTTATGTTATGGGCATGGCACTCAGTGTCATAAAGTGTGTACGAGTTACTGAATAGGAAGCCAGTTTGCTCCGTAAATGTCACCCAAATGATAATTAAAACTTAAAAAGAAATCAAATAGGGGCAGGGCTCGAGCTGATAAAATAGCAGCTTTGTGGAGGGCACAGGCATCAATGGAGGAGGCAGGGAGTCAGGCTGCTACCCTCCTGGGGGGTGCAGACAGTGACTGTGCTTGCCTGCTAGCTAAGGTTGGAGGTGCGGGTTCAGCCAGAGGCGACTCAAGAAAGGCCTGGTGGCCTACTTCTGAGAAAGCAGCCGCTGCCTGGAGCACAGTGCTACCCAGACACGTGTCAGCACGACGGAGGATGGAGCAGGAAGCCCTGAGCCCTGCACGCAGGGCCCAGGGCCGGAGGCTTTGAGTGAGCAGGCGGTGGCCCTGGCTCACAGCAACCCAGCACGGCCTCCACACCCAGGCCAGCGCTGGGAAAGCTTGGCCACAGAGACACCAGACGGGCATATAGAAAACAGGCGTGTTTAATGACAGTCCTGCAGTAAAAAGGTTTTGTACACCTGTACACACATTTACAGAGCTTTGGGGAGGACTCGGAAAGAGCGCTGGACAGGGGCAGAAGGAGCATCCGTCCGGGACAGGAATGAGGTATGCTGGGGCCTCCAGGGCCCAGGGTCTCCATCAGGATGTACCTGCCCCGCCCCACCTGACTCCGGTCCTCTGGGCCTGAGTTCTGGGATGCAGAACGCCAGGATCAGCAGCTCAAAGGCAACCCGGCCCACAGCCGACTTCCTGGGAGAGGGCCCCACCCGTGGCCCAGTGGCAGCCCACTACGAGGAGCATAAGCACATTCCAGCTCCCTTCAAACCCCACTGCTAATCCAGTCCAGTCCATTCCAACCCACAGCGCCCCTAGAGGACAGAGTGGAATTGCCCACAGGGTCTCCAAGGCTGTCAATCTTCACAGAAGCAAAGCCCAAACCACACC